AAAAACATTTCATAATGTAACTAAATAAAGTTTATTTTATTCAACATGAGTGTTTAGTTTTACAATATGATTTTTATAATTCAAATATAATATGTTGTAAAATAATTTTTAATTTTAAAATTAAATAAAGTTTTAATAAGAAGTAATCACAGTTGCGAACATGGATAAAAATACATTTTTTAAGTAAGTTAATTTTTTTTATTTAATCGAAATTTTTAATTTTTAAAATATAATTATGTATTATTATATTCAATTAAAGTTTCTGAGTTCTAACCAAAAATATACAGAGTTGATTTATTTAACTACTAAATATTTTCTAAAATATTAACAATTTTGAAATTGATTTTCCCAGCTGGTAATAATTATTTTTAGATTTTTTTGTGGTATAATATTATTTAGTTTCTTTCTTTATTCCTTACAAAGGGTATGGACAATATTTTTTTAATGGTAACATTTTTAATATTTGAAAATCATTTAACTAAAGAAATAATTGATTGACAATAGCTTTTAAACCAGTTTCTCGAAAGTTATTACCTTTTTAAAATATGAACTAAAGGCAAGGTGTGGACTATATTATTGCTATCATACATCACTCTGCCGCGCTCCTACTCCCACCGTAGTATAAAAATAATCATAACTTCCGGAATACTACTTCAAAAATTGTTATCAACCATTTATTCTCTCAGTTGAATCATTTTCTGAGGTTTAGTATAATTATAAAATATGTGCAGTTGTAAAAAAAAAATTAAAGTTAAAACCCCAATTAAGGATGGAACTAAAAATATTTTACCACTTACAAATCGAGATAAAAGTACTACTAAATAATAGAAAAAAAAAATCTTAAAACTATTATTATTTTAGGAGAAATTTAGTAATCAATAGTCTTGTATGCATAACAATCTTTACTAAACGATTAACGACGATATAAATGCTTAATGTGATTGTATATATCGCACATGCAGTACTTTTTAATTTCATAAACAGCTACGAATGAAGCTCAAAACCGATATAAATATACTTCCTGATTTATAAAGTATTTTTAATGACTGTTTGTATAATACAATGGATATGTAAAATTTATTTATGTCTTATATATTTTTAAACACCATAACGATATTATGATTATAATAATCTATAACTGGCGATTTGCCAACCACAGAAAGGTCCATTAAAACACTCGACATTTAATTTAGTAGGTTTCTATCTAATTTTAAATTTTGCACATATGAGGTTTTTGTGCTCATATTAACATTCTGTTTAAAAAAGTAAAATGATCGCTTTGTCATTACACTCTAAGCATTATTATACGGCATGTACTTATAAATTTTAACACCTTTAACAGCTTTTGATTCAGTGAATATTTTGCGTAAATTTTTTTTTAAACTTTTACAGTTTTAGACAACATTAAAAATGTATATTTAATTATTATACATTTAAAAATATATTATATTATATATATATATATTTATGTTTAATACATTTTTTTTACTTATTTGAAATTTCAAATAGCCATTTTTAGCTCTTTTCTTACACAAAATGTTGATAGATCGATATCAACTTTAGGATAAGTACTTTTTATAAAATAAGCATTTAAAGCTCGTACTATTGTATATTTTCTAACAAAATTTTCGAAAGCATTACATATGTTGTATATTAAAATGCTTGTAACATTTAAACATTGTAATACATTTTTGATCAATCCATCAAAATCTTTTACGAGATAAAAGCTAAAAAATAGTAAAATTTCAAAATAATTTTTTATTATTAAAAATAAACAATAAAAATATTTTAATGTAGTTCAAAATACTATTAAAAAAAAAACTACAAGATTATATAAAAAAGTAACATAATATATTGAATCAAAATTTATTAAAGATTTCAAAACCTGGTAGTATACTCTGTTTATTACAATGAACTTTTAAAAACAAATTCAATAAAATAAAATATTTTTTATAATATTGTTGACTATTCGAATATTGCATTCAATTTGAGAATGTTTGGTTATCTGCATTACAATTATTGAGCATATTAACATAAAAATACTCAACGTAAAATCCCAATTAATTTTACATATGAATTTATAAACTTTAATAATAAAATTGAATAAAGTTGTAAATTAAATTCACTATAGGTATTTTTAATCTAAATAAAGTTAATGGTTATGTTTATTAATATAATACTTAATAATTTATAAATATTAGTTGAACGATAAAATTAATAAAATACTAAAGCTTATCAAAGCTTATTAAGAACTACTGATTTTATTTTTATTTCAATAACATTAATGACATTGGATTTATATAAATTAAACTAATTTAAGCATAAAAATAAATGATTTCAATTAAAATCAACTGCAGTATTATAATTAACTATGATCTGATTCAAAAATAGTTTTGGTTAATTAGATAATTTAATTAAACGATTCTTAATGATTTCAAACTAGCAAAAAATTCATTAAACTAAAATAAAAAATCGTTTACATTTCAATTGATTTATTACATTTTGTTATCATGTTAAATACAGCAAGACAAATAATTCAATCTAATTTTTACATGACGCAACAATTAACTAAATTAACAACAAACCATTAAATTTTCTCGTTGTCAATTACACAATGTAATATGACATAACTTAACAATAAAATTCTATAAATCAAATATATTTGTGTTTCTAAAATTAAACTATTATATTAATATAAATTATGATCAATTAATAAAAAGGTTATGACATATTGCATTAACATTGCATATTATCGTAATTTTATTGATACATACTATTCTATTACATTCTATTCTGATTATATGCAATAAATACACAAGACTGAAAATTAAAAATAAAATCTAATTAGGAAGTAAAATACTGGGGGTTATCAGACAACAGTATACAGAAATGGAGCATCTATGTTATTAATAATTTAATAAAAATGGATTTTATTTCATAACTTATACTTCATTATCATATCTTATTTAACTGTTATCACCAAGGAATAATTTAATTTCCAAATAGACCTAATTCATTGGTTTATTTGTTTTTAATACTGTATTTTATTTATTTTTATTGAAAAATTATCGATATTTTTTGTTGAATTTTTATTTTCCATTTCATTGATGATATAAAAATGGGATTATTTAGTTTTAAATTTAAAAGTTGATATCACATAGCTAAAATATTTTAATCACTTAACATAATACATATATTTATGTTTAAAATTTTAAAAGTTAAAAAAACATAATTTAATAATTTATATTTACTAGTAATGGATTTAACACTCAAATTTAGACGATTATGGTGTTTTTTTTTTGTCTCCGTGACTAGTTCATAATTACCTGTGTTATAAATTAATAAACAAAAATATAATTTATTTTTAAACTAATGACTTTCTAATAAATAAGTAATTTTATTTTTACGTAGCATTCAACAAAATGTTAGAAATTTCCTATCAATCGACATTTATTAATAAGGTATTAATTTATTAAACTACTGTCCATTATTCTCAGTTATATTTTTCTTAATACCTAATTTTTTAACACATAAAAATATTATAGCTATTTTACTTGTTTAAAACTTTAGATAAAACAATTATACATAATGTATATCTTCTAAGAATATATTAAGTTTTTTTTAAGGTCATGCCTTTTAAACTGATACTGAATGTTAATGTTAGTTTGATAAAAATAAAACCACGCCAGTTATGCCTTGAACTCGGATTATGATGAAAATAAATGTAAAATCATATTGTATATTATAATTATATTATCGTATTAAAATAAAGACAAAAAAAAAAAAAATCATTGTATTTAAAAAATTAAAAGTATGAAATAAACTAAATACATACAAAATTTCATAAGACAAAAAATAACATGAATGGTGAGAACATAAAATAGTTTATATTGATAATTATTTATGCAAAAACGTTATCTATCTTTCATAAGTAGTAAATCAGTCCATAAGAATATGTTTAATTAATTAATTTAAATAGGTGTTATTGTTTTATTATAGTGTTAAAAATAATTATAATTACAACAAGCTGATACATACTAATTTATAGCTAAAAATAAAACAATTAACATCTAATTTAAGCAGTTTTTTCAACTTTTACAATTGATGGGTTTAATTATAAGACTTATTTAAAATTACGAACATTTTACTATTAAATGATAAATAATTCAGCTTTATTAAATTTACGTTATAATAATGAATTAAATTTCTTTTTTGATTATAGTTCAAAAAAATATTTACAATTTTATAAAGATTCTTATGCTATCTTTTCAAAATATAAATATCAACGATTATTTATTAATAATGTTACATCTGAAGACGACATAAAAGGCATATAAATTAAAATATTTTATAAACTTGATTTATTATTTATAAAATGATTTGCGTATTAATTTTTGATTTCTCTTAAAATAATAATTTTTTTGTGAATTTTTTTTTCTCTTTAACCTTTACGGGAGAAGTGAGGCCGAGATACGTCTAGTGATAAAAATAGCAACACCCACACTTCACCTCTATTCATTACTTTAAATTGTTAATAACTAGTTAAATATGTATGTTACTATTTAAAAAAGAAAGTTGACACTCCTATAAGAAATAAGGGTTGAACATGAAAAATGTTTTTTATGGATAAATGGAAATATATATATATATATATTTTTAAAAAAAATAATTATATTATGAGAAATTGAGTGGCTTGTTATATAAATATCACTTTCTAGTAAGAATTATAATTTAAATATTTAAAATAGTATAAATTTGGAAAATTGGATCTCGGGAGTATTAAAACGTGACCATCACAAAATCAGCTCAATACTTAATGATTTATTTTATCACGTAATTGTTATGTACTCGTTAACAAGAAATGGATGTGATACAATAAAACGACCATGAGTGATAACAAATACAAACGCCGTTTCCGACACTATGTTGGGTGCCAAAGGTAATGGTGGTGGCGTAGAAAGAGGGGAGCCGTTGTACGATCTTACCGAGCTAAGCCAGCCGGTCAGTCGTTAACAGTACTAGTTCAGTCGGTGTACACACGGGAAGAAGGTTGTAAGTCTATTGATATTGACTTCTGAGCCATCCGCGGTATGGTTCGTCTAATGCTTTGTGGCCTAGCGGTTTGATTCGTACGGCTCTCACAGAAGACCTACGTCTCTACCACATCAATAAATACATAACAATTTTTAAGTTACCAGTTTTTATTTTTTAATATTATTGTCGTTAAATTGAATTTTTAACGTTTTTTATTGTTGAAAATAAACATTTTTTATTTCTTGTTGTAACTTGTGTGTAAACTTTAAAACGTCCAAACTGTGGTGCGATACTTCGAGTTACAATCCGGCCGAACTACCCGTACAACAGTAAGTAACAATTTCAAATAATTGTTTTTATTGTTTATATCTAACTGATCAGAATTAATTGCACATAGCGAGTTTACACGACTCTCAGGAAATTCCCTGTAAATATACTTGTCGGGCTGATTATTTCAGTAAAGGGAAATAAATTTTAATAATAGAATAATAATAATCATAAGCTGATAAGTGTAAGACCGTAAACAATAGTTTTTATCAGCTGTGAAATTACTAACATAAAAAAAATCTAATCTTTGTCGAGCTTTGTTTTTGTTATTTAAGTAGGCGGTTCTTGGCCGAAAATATTTCACGATATAAATTAATTGGCCATCATCCAAGTTTATTTTTGGGTCGTCGTCTCTTCGTTCTATTTGAAGGACTGACCGCGAAGACGATTGCACGTAGGTGTTACATTCACGTCATTTTGGTATAAATGTGCAGATATTTTACGGGGTCGGAGAGACGGAATAAAAGAGACGAATTAAACAATGACTTATTTTATGGTAACCTAAGGTGTTACTTAAAAAAGGGCAAAAATTAGAGGAAATGTTTGGTGAACTCTATGCTTTCATTTTGGTGTTTGTACAAAATTGTTCTTTTAAACGTTCGAGGTCGGTTTTCAACAGGTCACCGGTTAAGTGTTGTTATTCAATGGTAGAATAGAAGCAATGGACACGTACCACCGGAAAAACATGATGCGTGTCCAGTACTCGGCTCTAGGTTCTGGACTCGATGGTCCTCCGCCTCTGTGAGGATTCACGGACACAGACGTGGTTGGGCATTTCGTTCTGATTTAGCATCAGGAAAAATATTGAAATAATAATACTTATACATCTATGATTTACACTTTCTTGTTTTACGTAAGAAGCATCAACTTTGCCTGGTAACCATTAATCTCTATTATTTGTATAATCGGAATCTATCTTGCATGACAAATACTACCTAGTATATTGCATGTGCTAAACGAAATTTTAGAATTATTATGAGCATGCTGATTCTGCAAATACACACAATAGTCTTTTGTTGGGTCCAATTGCGGTTATCTTTTTTCTTGGCAACTTCTTTGGTTAATTCGGTTGCGTTATTGAATTTTAAGAATTAATGTTTATGAAAACGCTGGCTTTATCACTGCAGATAAGAACCAATGAAAAATATTTTTATAATTTCATCAATAATTTACAATAGTATTATATTATTTATAATATTTAATATATATATATATATATATATATATCGTGACCTAATTTTATAAATAAATCTACAGTCAGTCAAGTAAATATTTGGACATGGTCTAGAAAAAATAATTTGCATCCTGAATTACATCGTCTTACAGGCCTAATGAGTATAGTTTAATCAAACGTTCAAACCTTTTTTTAACGGTGTTGACCATACTCAAAGGACGATGGCAATACAAAAAGTTAATTATTTTTTCTAGACTATGTCCGGATATTTACTTGACTCGCGGTATCATATATCAGAAAACTTAATTCAGTGAGTAAAATTAATAGTGTTAATTGATAATTTTGAAATTGTTCAAGAAAACTTTATTTGTAACTATATAATGGTATGGTATTTAATGGTAAATTTTTCATAAACGCCTTTATCAATTTATTATTTCGGTAAATCCACTTTAGGCTGATATGTTTTTTATACACTATTATATTTCTTTTAATGTAATTAAATTGCATTTTCGAAAAAACGTAAAGTTAACACTTTTATTTATTGACCCCTTCAAATAATATTATGTTTACAAATAAAATGTAATTTATTTAATTTAACTGTCAGTATAATAATAACTATTTTTTTCAATTTGTTTGTGTAAATAATTTAAAAAACGTACACCTATGATATGAAAATTATAGCAAAGAAAATAACAAAGAGCCAAGTTCATAATATTGTTATTTGAACTTTTAATCTTATGAGAAAACGTGACAGACAGTTAAAGGTGACCTTTTTGTACAAATTGTCACTAACACTTTCTTATCGAGTAATCAAATAAAATCCATAGTTAATATAACATAAATAAAAATTTAATTTATTCTAAAATAATAAATCATACAAGGTCATGTTGCTCATAAAAATGTTAATACTCTTTTTCCTTAAATTAATTAATTTTTACTTTTTTACGTGCTTATAGCAAAACTGATAATTTTGGCGCAACCTTTGAACGATACTTTAAGAATAGAGATAATGAAGAATAGTTTATATATATATATATATACATCTTTAAATTACCTTTTATTGATCGAGAAGAAACACTTTTTCAACCTGTATATTTTTTAAAAATAGCTTTTTAATGAGCTTCAAATAAAATAATTTGACATTAACTAATTTTTGTTAAAGCAAAACTATAAAAAAAATTTTCCATAATACAATTTTTTTCTTAAACATATAACAACTCTTTTAAAAAGCAATTAGATATACTTTAAATATTCCAAATATTAACAATGACAGTTAATACCTGATAAAAATAACTATCCTAAAATAATTCTTTTTGCAATTAACCTGAAATTAGTAATTTATTAAAGGGCTGAAAGAACCGCTTGGATTCAATATTTTATCTAATATTATTATTGTAACTATTTTAATTTGCTTATCATTTTTTTAAACAAACAAATTTAATAATACATATTATGCATTATAAAATAAAAATGTTATATTTCTCCTTAATAGTCTATGTTTCTGTCAGGGGCTGTGGATTATTGAACGATAACATCAATATAATGCACTACTTATACACGTGGGGTTTTATAACAAACACAAACTATTTCAGTAATTATTAAATAATTATTTAAAATTAAGGGTTTAAATTTTCAAATTCTTTATTATATCCACACCCTTTACTGTATTTGTGCGCAGGTTATAATAAAAGAAAAAAAAATTATGCTCTTTTTTATGGATTATCAACTAACGTTTTTGCTGCAATTATTTTGTTCGCCTAGGTACCAAAGTCCGTGTCAAACACCTACATCAAGGACGACAACGACAAATATGTTGGCTGATTGTTGTGACGTTATGGTGGCTCACAGCCCACCATTATTCACACCTCACTCTTCACAATCCGAACTTTCTGTACTATACCAGAATTTAAGACTGGTTATGACACAAAAGCAACAGCAGTCACCCCTGTCTATGCGTCGATTGAATCGTCCCTCAAACTTATCCAACACTGAAGACAGAGCGGGATCACCGAATAAGCCAAGACGCCCGTGTTTGGTCACTAGATCGGACTCGGATGGAAGCATAGGATCATCTTCAGGGTCATCATCTGACGAAAATGAACCAACCAGCCCGACTAAAAGTAAAAAGAAAGTCGTTTTTGCTGATGATCGAGGACTTTCTTTAACTCAAGTAATGTATTGTTACCGAAGTCATAGTTTTTAAGGGATTAGGAGAGAGGGTTATCCATTCTGAAATGAAAGATATGTCTACACTGTTGTGTAGTCCTATGACAAAGTTTCACAAATTTTGGACCCTTAAAATATCTCAAATAAAATGCATATAAATCCGGGCTCTAATTTTGATATTTAGGTATCACTTGTTAATTTAATGTTTTAAATGACCCCTAAAAATTACGATAAGACTACGTTATAGCAATTGAATTAGCCAAGTAAAATGATAAGTGATTCATTTTTACTGTTACCCAACGGTGTAACAGACACGGTTTTCAGTAAATCAGTCAAGCACCGCGTGTCTCAATATGTGCATATTTTTTTAGGTAAGATTAATGAACGAGCCATCGAACCAACCTCCAAAACTGATGGGCATTGCCCCGTACTTGAACCAGTCACCAAGTGTTTTGCAGTCAACAGCTAACAATCCCAAACAATCTGATCAATGGCAACTTCGATTTCCTCAACCAGCATCCAGTTATTTAGATTTCCGTAAAAGACTAGATGAAAGCGGTGTGTCATTAGAAAATGTAATAGTAAAATCGCAAGATCGTCGAATAGTCGGCACTGTGAAGGTACGCAACTTATCTTATGACAAAGAGGTGTTTGTACGGTGTACGCATGACAAATGGGCAACGTTTGAAGACACGCTGTGCACATACGTCCAGAACAACACAATATCATCAAATAGTACGGCGGGTTCAGCGCAAAATGTTACGGCCATTTATGATACGTTCTCATTTCGTTTGACGTTGCCGGGTAACGCTACATCTATGGAGTTTGCTGTATGCTACAAGGGCGGTGACTTTGAATATTGGGATAATAATGATGGAGCCAACTACTGTCTAATCAACAATAATCAAGTTTCACAAACCACGAGCCCCAGTCCTATGCTTTCCCCGTCGCCTACTTTAATCGAATTCGAACAGAAGTCGCCTGTTCCATTTTTTGGAGACCAATCAAGACAGAATTCATGGAGCAGTATATGGCGGGAACAAAAAAGTGATACATATACTACATATTGGTGAGAGAACGTCACTTGAATAAATGGCTAAAATGTAAGCACTATCAATGGTATAGAAAATGAAAAATATTTGTTTTAAATTGAAATTATCATGTTCGTTAAGTGTCACGTTTCTAAATGGTTTAACTACGATGTCAAACATTTTTTGTTCATTTATCAGCAAAATCGAACTTTTTTAATGAATTTATTTGATTTTTTACGTTAAATGTCAATACAACTCTGAGAATGTAAATAATTTACTTAAATCTTTTAATGTAGTTATCATGTGCAACACTTGAGATAAAATAATTTTACACTCTTAAGGTTAAATGGTCAAAAATAATTGCATCGCATCCGCTAGCTGTATAATTTTGAGCCAATTTATGTAATCAGCTTAGTTTGTATGAGTGCCAAAAACAATGTTTACTTGTAAAATTGTCAAAAATGTTGGTAATAGTATCCGTTTATGACGTAATAAATGCAAATGTTAGTAATATTCATTGTTTTATTCGCATCTTACATTGAATATTTCAAGAGACGTGTGTTTTTTATTGTGCAAACATGTGCACTTACTAATGAAAATAATAAAAAAACATTTTTATAATTAAAACTTTCAATACATATTATTACTAGTGCTTTACACAACTAGCGAATAAAATTTTAATAATAAATCTTTTTACATTTTTCCTAAGCTATAAACTTTTAATTTTGCCTTAAATTTTTTTTTTTTTTTTTAGAAGAAGACTCATATTTTTTAAAGAAAAGTGTAAAAATACATCTGAGAGATTGTCGTCTGGATTATCGATAGCTACCATTTATTTTAGTCGACGTGCATGACCGCGTGTGAATGTCGCAACCATCGTTTTAGCTAATTGTTCACAAAATATTCAATCGAAATCAAGTTTACGTTTGTTTATATAAAAGCTTTGAATTTTTATAAGTATTTATTGTAAATTAGTTTTAACACGAATAGAAATTATATACGCCATCATTTTTTAAAAATTAATTATTTCATTAAACTGACAATCATTTTTTATCCTATAAACAACATTTATTAGAATAGTAGATTTAGATAAAAGTGTTTAATAAAATAATATATGTTGGGGATATATCCACTTTGTTTTTGTCAATAATCCCTGTATTATGTTTATTATTCAAAATAATTTATCATTACATATTTGTATATTTTATTAATGTTTTATGATTTTTAAATTTGTTGAATTATATCTTTTTTTTTTTTAATCATAAGTGATAATGCGTAAATTAAAGACTAGATGGCCATCTTGTAAGACTGATCTACTATATTTTTACCAGTAGTTACTCCCGCGAATCACTGTCCCTCGAAAGTACGTATAATGTATTTGGAATTTTTTACTTTTTGTTTTCTCTTACTATTATTATTATCTTTATTATTGTTATTTTAATTTTAATTAAGTACACTCGGTAAATTTGTATACACTTACTACCCGAAGTCTTCTTAACAACTGTAATACTTTAAGATGGCCATACAATTTCGATTATACCTATTAAATCTGCAAGAAAAATGTTTTTTTATAGCCATCGGAAAACTATTGTTTAACAATGTAACTCCGGTAACATTTTTATTTTTACTTTGTTATCATGTTTTGTTGAAAAAATATTTATTATGTATTTCAAAATCTATTAAAATGAACGTGAATTGTGCTAAAAATGAATATATGCATTGATATCATCTTATAGTTTACATATAATTCATCAAAATTAGCCATTTATTTTATATTGATATAAACATGTATAGAAAAATCATTTTATCTAGTCACTAATGTAATATAAAAATAAACTTTCTGCTTTATAAGCATTACAATTTTAATCATGAACATTTCTATTTCGACTACCTACCAAACCTATTTTTTGAAAACAATATTATTGCCTTTAAAAATTTATTTTTATAAATTATTTTGGATAAAATTAGGTAATAGACACGTGGTAGTGTTTAGTCGTGACCAAATGTAATACGCAAAACTTGTGTTCTAGATTTATATAAAATGTTTTTTAAGTAGTATAAATTGTATACACATTCTTTGATTCCGTGTATAACATTACATACTATTCGTATTATTATTTAATATTATCTATTTTATCCTTATCTATATTTTATAAAGTATCTATCGCAAACGTAACTAATCAAAAATAGATTTAGTTCAACTACCATTTAATTTATATATTACTTAATATTATTGTATATATTGTTGAAATTAAATAATAAAATATATGTTATACTATTTCAAATTTTCATCTGTGTTTAATTTTTGTAATAAATTTCCTATATGCTTCCTTTATTGAATACAAACGCTATTTTAATTACTTGAATCGTTATCAAAAATGAACCATAAGCCAATGATGTAGTCGACTAGAAGTACAACAACTGGTTAATTATAATTTTATTACAATTTCATTTGGTTTTGACAACATCATAATTACTTATAATGAAAATATTTTTGAAGTCTATAGACTTATAATATTGCGCATGATATAATTATCTATGTAAAAGGTATAATTATTCTATAGATACGATTAGGTCATAAGTGTTTAATGATCAATTCAAAAAATCTATCGATGAAATTTCTCTAATGGAATTTTATTTGTTCGTTGATGTCTGATGATCAGTATAAATTTTTGTATTTAATTATTTATGTTGATATCATACTAATTGATACATAACATTTGTTAACAAAGTTTTCTTTTTAATTTGGTAGTTTTTCATTTAGTTATTATAATATCCAAATAAATACAAAATATATTAATATTCAAGTTATGTAACTTTACTGTTTTTTTAATCAAAATTTGAATCGATTCTTTATTTGTGATTAAATGGTTGCTTAAATTCATGCCATTCTTTAACTCTATTAAAAAGTTAAATTTAGTCTAATCTGAAAATCTTGATCGTTAAGTCATATATCAAAAGCTTAATAATTTGCAAACCTAATTGTTGAAATATAGTTTTAATAATATGTCATTTAATTTTAATCATAATTTCTATGATCAAAAATACTGAATAAGTATGACTTATATCGATTTAAAATTAAACATACTTATAATATTAATATTTTTATTTTTTTCTAGCAACCAATTATATTATAATAATTTTTCGATTGAAATAAATTTCATTATTTTTTTAAAAGATATTATTAATAAACAATATATTTATATTAAATATCATTATTAATTTGAAATATAAACAGAATCAAAACTTCTTTCGTATTTTAATTAAGTTAAAATTAAAAGCTCTATTATTTCTTAGAATTAATTACCTAATTAATTAAATAAAATTTATAAAATATATATTTAAATCTGAAGAGCTTCAAAAGAATAACATTGCAATCTTGACAGACTTTATATTACATCCACCTACATTATGTGATCGTCATAATTTTAATTTTAACTAGAACTCTTACAGTAGTTTATAAGTCACTCAGTTAAAAGTTAAAATAAGATGTTTACATAAACATGTTTTTACTTTAGAATAACACTTACCTGTTAAAGCTTTCGAAACTCAAATCTATTTTGTTTGATTATTTTTTTTAGACTGACATAAATTTTATCTGTCAAATACAATTTTATTTATGGATTTAATTTTAAGTATAAATAGCGATTGAAAATATCGTCATATATGATGACGTAATTTATTAATTTTTAACATTCTTAACTCAAACAATACAGTTGTTGTAACAACTGTATTGTTAAGTTAAGAAAAGGGACAAGACCAATTATTAGTAAATGTATTTCATTTTCCTATAAAGTTCCTATACTTANTACGTAGTGTAGACCCACTCGCGTTACATTTTCTTCCAATTTAATAAAAAATATTATACTTTGAAGAATATTGGTTGTTAGAAAGATACATACCCTGTAGTCACGTATAAAATAAATGTAATTAAATATATATATATATTAAAACTACACAAATTATTTTCAGTTCTTTGTTACTAGATTGTGTCTCTTTAAAATTTACCTTTTGTGATATGTTCCCTTTTTGAACTCGACAATTTAACTATTCNGATATGTTCCCTTTTTGAACTCGATAATTTAACTATTCTACTTATTTAGACTAATTTAAAATTATTTTTCAAAATCATACAACTTAAGTGACAATATTTGATTTAATATTAACTTTGGGGGCAACTGTCTTTTAATTTCAGCGTGTCCGCTCTTATTTACCTTGGCAATATTTAAATGATTTATAGAAGAATAAACTCAACAATTTATAGTTTAATCTGTCTGTTTTTATAAGATTTTTAGTGAATTTTAGAGTATATCTAGTAAATTTTATAAAATCATTTAAATAGAATCTGATTTGAAAAGCAAAAATCAACAAATAATGAATAATAATAAACCAAAACATAATTATACATGTATTTTAATGTTAGTGCTATTATAAGCAACTATATATTAAATCTGCGTATAGTAAGCTATGGCAAATTACTGAATGCTCATTTAGAAGAATAATTTTAATATTATATTTAACACATTGTCACATACCAAAGTTTGTATCACATAACTGGATATTCCCATGTAACATTTTTATTCTAAATGTATATAAAGACATTCATTTTTAAACATGTATTTTACCTTGGCAACAATAACTGTGTATATAAACATTGAATCCAATATCATATATTGTTTAAAATTGATGACAGTTATCTATACGGCGAAAATTTAATAATGGAGTATTAATTTAATTATTTAAACTAAAAATAATAATTTCAAAAATTATCATACGTTAAAAATAATTTGATAAGGTGTGGTGTATTTTAAAACACAATATAAAATAAAATGTCGAGTTTTACACAATATTTGGAAAGTACAGAAGTATAGATTTTGGGTAAAACACTCATTTTCTATCCTTATTTTTCACTTGATAATAAGATAAAAAACTACTATATTAGCTTCGATGCGAAGCTGAGAAAGTATTAGTTTTACTATGTGTATTTTATTTTCATTTATTTATTTTTTTTTTTTTTTGTGTCTGTTACCACTTTTTCTCAGTTCTTATCGATCCAATTTCTTTCGACGATACGTCAAAAGATCTCAAATCGTATCTAGTCGAAGACTTCATCCTCAAAAATTGAAAAAATGTTCTCGTTCCCTGTAAATGGGGGAAATCTCCAAAAAAATTACAAATTTAAAAATCGCTAATTTTCGAAATTTTTTCTACTTAAAACTGCCATAACTTTTTCAATAATGATTATATCAATATAATTTTTTCTTATAGATGCATAATGTCTTTACCTATTATTTGATATATTTTTTTTAAATATTTGACCATTTACCTGCCCCCAGGGGGAAATTCAAAATGAAAACTTTTACACAAAAAATTAACTTTTTCAATTTAACTTTTTAAAGTGTTCCAAAAATACTGACACTTTTATATATACCTTAAATTAAAGCTTCTGTAATATACTTTATTATGGAAAAAAAAATTTCGGATTTTATTTTGTCTTTGCGGTAAAAATAGTTACCAAATGTTATTTTTGTGTGAAAATTCTAGATTTTATATTTTTANAAAATAGTTACCAAATGTTATTTTTGTGTGAAAATTCTCGATTTTATATTTTACATTTTTAACTTTATAATGCTATAAATGATTGAAAAGTGTATGGATTAATACAATTTCTTACGAAAAATAATATTTATATCCCTCTTTCATTCGATATACATTTTTTTTTAATAATATATTAGATATATATATGTATCTAATATATATGTATATTAGGGTGGCTCAAAAAAATCGATCTTCGAAATGTTTATGAGATACCTCATAAATGTATTATATACATTAAAATAAACATTTTATGAAAATTTGAGATTAAAAAAAAATTTTTTACAGTCGCTCAACACGTTTTAAGAAAATTGACCAAAAATACTAAAAAAAAAAAAACATAAAATGTCATTATTTATTCAATTTTTGTTCAAATTTCTTACTTAGTACATCTAAATTGTTCGTTTTTTAATACCGAATAATAATAATTAGAAAAAAAAATTGTAAGTCCAAAATTGATTGCGTAAAGTCCATAAAAAGCTTAAAAATATGGTTAAGTTCTACAAACACTTAAGTAAACCAAAAAAAATTTTTTTTAATTTTTTTTTTTTTAATTTGATTAATATTTGTGTGTATTTTAAGAGGAAAAAATTTTTTCCACTAATGTTTAAAACTACTATATTATATTTAATCGATGTTGTATTTTATTATACTTAGCTAAGAATTATTCTAGCCCCCTCATAAAAAATTCAACTAAATATCCGCCTTATATACTTTTCTATAAATAGAAAAGTATTATTCAGATTAATTTATATAGTTACAGTAAACAGTGTATTATACAATTGTAATGAAAAAAAAAATCATAAGCTAATAAGTAAATTTAACGATTGCCACTAAAATGAACTTTATTGATTATAACAGTTAAAAAAGATAAATACAATACAATTTTCTTGTTTATCATAAATATAAAACAAGAAAAAAAAGTTTTTTTAGCCTTACATCTGCAGCTATGAATCAATTCTTGACTTAGTATATTATATATATATGAATATTTAACATAATAAAGTGTGCCATCTATGTGTGTTTTAAAAAAATATACTACTTGATTTTTACATTTCCAGATGGCCAAAGTTTATATTCTTCTAAATAATTTACAGATAATATTCATATGCCGATAAAAAATGATAAATCTTACAGTATAAAAATGTTAAAAGAAAATTAATACATAAAGTTAAACACAATAGTAATTTACAATTTGCAAGATTTCTTTTGCTCAAGCACAAAAAAGTACAATATTTAATATATATTCCTCTGATATACAAATACTAGAAATATCAATGATTGTTTTTTTCTAACACTTGTAATTGTATAAAACATAATTTTTAGTAAACTAGGCACTTAATTTCTCTTATTAAATTAATTAAGTTAATTTTTTTTAAAGTTTATTTCCTGAAGTATTAGCAATATTATAACCTTCAATATTGCAATATATCTTTGTGAGACATTAAAAGAGTAATTTTTGTATAT